TGCGAGTAAAAGAAGTCCTAAAGAAGACTGTAAATATCCACCTCTCCTCCTACCCATGTTGCACCGTTAGGAGAAATCCTCCACTGAAGTTTCCACCAACACTTCCAGGAGTTTTTTCCCCCTATGTTCCCTGCTGTGCTTAGTGGTTCCAAGGCAGATTCCCATGTCTCTACAAGATACATTAGTGGCACAGGAGACTGACACTCCTGGAAGTGTCGGTTATAGAAGAGACATCAGTGGAGGATTTTTCTATAATAGAGCAATGTGAGCAGCAGGAGATATAAGTACTTACAGTCGTCTTTACAGGCAGTTCTTTTGCAGGCAAATTTATTTAAGCAACATTTGATTCCAGTAAGTGTTTAAAAACCTTTTAAGTTGAAAGCATTACCCGGTAGCAGTCATTTGGTCTGTGGAATTTGTTGATGGTAATTTTTCTTTTGCTTAATAGAGCAACACAGCTTTGAAAACCCAAAACCTAGCTCCAAATACTTGGGCAGCCTCTAATCCATTAGAATGAACCAACCCTCACTTGTGAGCAGGAAAACCTCAAAATGCTGTCCTTGGTTTTTCCTGACTATGGAACATCCAGACAGCTGCCAATATTGCTTGGGGGTCGATAGGAATGGCATGCACACATCAAAAAGGCTATTGAACAATTGCATCTTAATGCCACCCAAATGATATTCAAGCAGCTAAATAGCTATTGGTCAAGCCATGGATCATCTGTAGTGGTGCTGATAGTTGGCAGTGGTGTGAAACAGGTTTTCTCTATGGGGCCATCACTTCTGTTCATAATACATTTGAAAATTTTAGGAATTCCCTAATAAGCTGTGTTCACCTTTAAAAAGTCTGCACAAGCTGGTGTGGCACTCCCATCTTTTAAAAACTTCAAGAAACTCCTCTGGGGGTCCAGCAAGACCCCACAGGTGCTGGTGAGCAGGCTCTGGGACCACAAACCACCCATCACATTAAAACGCATCCACATAAGGTTCAGCGCTCCTACATCACAAAGATCACTAATCTTATTATTTTTATACAGGATTTATATAGCACCAACAGTTTGCTCAGCACTTTACAAAATAAAGTTGTGTGTCCTCGTTAACAGCAACATAGCACCAGCCTATGAATACTTTACTTGATTTGTGCTTCAAAAGGCTTTTCAATTATCCTTTGTCAGCTAGTAAGACCATTTGTAGACAGTGTTGTAAAAGATCACCCATGAGACATTGGAGATGTTACATAAAAACTCAAGATTATAAACCGCTAATGTTCCACTGCTAAGCATATCCTCTAAATTCTTGAAGCAGCCCATCAGGAGTGTATTTTCAAGAAAGACAAGTCTCAAAATAGATTTGTACAAATGGAGGCAGAGGGTAGTGTTGATGAGGACCAGTTCCTGAAATCAGTAATAACGTGGAAGCCAGTTTTTTTTTTTTTTGTGTTTGTTTTTTCAACAAATGTAATTGTTAAAGTTTCCAAGCTGATAGTACTTGTTGTCATTGAATTATTTTCCAGAGTAACCATATATTCCTTCAAAGATGGAACTATATTCTGTTGTAAAGTGCCGCATAAACTGTTGTCGCTATATAAATCCTGTATAATAATAACAGTGAGGTTTTTTTTTTGTTTTTCATTTTAGATATAGTAAGGAGCTCCGCTTTCTTTCCTTTTCTGTTTTCCCGTTTCTGTGCTAACGTTACCCTGATCGGTTGGGTGTCACTGAGACAGGAAGTGATAGGAAATCTCTGCAACGAAAAATGCATTTTTAAAAACCTGATACATTTAAACCCTTAACCACTGTGCGCAAAGTTAAAAAAAAAAAACCTAAAAACATTTTGGCTGCAGTTGGGAGAAATAGATGTTTATTCAATAAGAATAGATACAGAGGGACTGGACATTAAAGCCAGGGAGGATCTGGCATGATCTGTTGCCTGCTTGTGCACAGGTCATGTGCCACCATTGCGCAACATGCTAAAATAATTTTCATTGGAATTGCAGCAAATCCTTCAGTGGTGGAATCAGCTAGTTGGGATCTGTGACAATTGTGTGCTGCCTAAACGGTACAAAAGTCCTTCTTTAGACATGAACACACACAGGGCTAGTAAAGTGTATAGTGTATTTATTCCAGCCCTTCCCTCATAGAGAAGAATCTAGAGAACTTGCTTGTTAGATTGACAAAACAGAGTGAGTTGTATGCAGCTTGGAATTAAGGAGCCGCTTGTCTGTACAGACGCCTCGAAGTCAGACCTTCAACACACTGCATAATGATAAGCAATTGACTTCGCATAAGGAATACTGATGAATTGTAGTTCCAGCTGCAGACAGTTATCCATAGAGAAGTCCTTTAATTGGAAATGGACGGCTGAGAGGCTGACCCAGATATGCGATGAAGGCCTTGATAGTTATTTACTCTCCCACCAGATGGTGACTAGCTCACCCTGTGTTTGTCCTCAACAGCTAGCCAGTGTTGTGATATTTATATTTTAACAGATTAAGCCATGAATGTCATTGAGTATGTCTATAAGATCTGGACATGCATCACCCATATTAATATTTCTTGCGCACATTGGAGACAGTAGAAACAGAAGCGTGCAGTTGGTTTTCCCATTCTACGTGTTTGAAATCAACGTTGGTATGAAAAGGCAGAGAGCTGCTTGCAATGAACCCCAGGCAGGGTTCAAATGCAACAGCTGATCTAACATATGTAAGCTCGAAAGAGCAGGGCCCTTGATCCCCTCATGTTTTGCATTGTATTGGTATTGTTCTGTCACATGTTCTGTCTCCCTTTTGTAATGTACAGCGCTGAGCGAACTATTGGCGCTTTTTATAAATACTGTATAATAATAATAATGACCGTTCTCAGATCAACACAAATGATTCTGTTTCTTAATATGACCTGGATCATATGAAGGTTTCAAACATGCTTGAGAATCTGCAACAAAGGAGCGTTCATTTTTGCTTGCTTCTATGTAATCAGATTATTGTAACTGTTTGGGTTCAATGTCACAGCCAGTAGCACCCTCCAATGACACCTTTAGGTGTATCTTTCACAAACCTGGGCAGCATGACCATATAATGGAAAAAATGCAAATGTCAATGTTACCTTTAGTGATATCAACATGTCAGCCATAGGCAGCTGAATAATAAGAGTTGGATTTGGTCCTGCCATTTGTAACTCGAAGCTCCAAAATGCTTGAGGAGCAAAAAAATATAAATTATTTTCAATGAAAATGATTCACATCTACACTCCAAATGCCGGAAGCTCAAACAAGTTCTGCAGCTTTTTTCAGTCGCTCAAATTGGGCAGATTTGCACGGTTTTAATTGGTTTTAATCCCATGGAAATGCGATATTCGCACGTTTTTGCATGATTTTTTACTCAAATGAGAAAAATAAAAAGTAATATATGAATGTAAAATACACAAAAATCACCATAAATAATAAATGTGTAATATTAAATAATAACCCCTACCT